AAGATCAATTCGGAAATAAATATAAAAATAAATATAAAACTTTTGCCTCTCTTTAGTCTTTTCCACTCTCTCTCTCTCTCTCTCTTTCTCTCTCTCTCTCTCTTCCTCAACGGTAGTCTTGTTAGCAAATATTTTGCCAAATGAATGCTCCTGCTAACTTCTGGTGATATTGGAAAAAGTGACACGGCGCTCGCGATATTTTTCCAGGAATCTCTACGATTGGCCATTTCCTTCGAAACTTAACGGCACACTGCGGATCACGTGTTAATGCAATTACCGTACTTACGATAAATTTACAGAGGGAAGTAAAGACAAATTGGTAGAGTGGACCGACACGGTCGTAAAATACGATCCCGTCCCGCCTGTCCTCCCCTCCCTCTCCCCCCTCCTTGCTAGTAATTTTACTTCCCCGTTTGTCGATTCGTGCGCGAAACACTTCTTCGCGGCAGTTGCGCGGCAATTATGTTAAGTAACGAAACTCGTTTAGCTCACTCAATAGCCAGCGCGAAAGAGTATTTATATTTCTACTCGAAAAAACGCGCGCAATTTTTCTCCCCCCCCCTCCCCCTTCCGCCCTCCTCCGAATCGTCCTCGCTCGGAAATTTTTTGCCGATAAAATTGATCGTAGGTACGTATAGCGGACGGAGAATTATCCTGCCGTCGCGGGTACATTTCCGCGATAACGGGGCCACGCCCGCTGTTGCGAGGGAGGAAATGAAAAAGGGGGTAAGCGGGGACGAGATCCGGGCACCGCGGGGGTAAGGCCGGAGGATGAGAGCGCATCGGGGGTGATGGCGAAAGTTACCTCGCAATAAAAACGGACATCGGCGCGACTTTCAATAAGTCGGACATAAACGTCAGTTCCTATTCGATACAATCAATTTATACAATTTATAGACATAACAGATATATAAAACCGTATATAACATGGCTATTTTAGATTTACGGACATTTCCTGCGGAATCTGACGCTAACCATTTATTAACGCTTAAATAACGAACGTTAATTTTCTCAAATGTAAAATTAAATTTTAACATTATCTAAAGATTGCACTTAGGACAATCGCTGTAATTCTGTAACATTTATGCAATGAGATAAGCTGATGAGCATGGAGTTAATATGGGGAGATAAAGCGATAAAGTGTCCAAAGTCGTATATGCACGCGACAAAAATACGATAAGAACGCACACGTGGGTTTATTCAAAGCCTCCAAAGTGCATCAACGTATATTGAATCTGCATATTACATGCGGCACTCCCATTGATACGTTGCCGTCCGCGAAGAACAATAAACAAGGCTTGTCCGCCCGGCGGCGTACCGAACGACCGTCGTAAAAGATGCCGTAACGTTAAAGCCTCGAGTAAGGTCGTTCGATGACATCTCCCCGGAGGAACGGAGTGCGCGGTCTAGAAATTAAGAGGAAGCGGATATATACTGTGTCCGGGGGAGAGAGTTTCAACCGGCTCGAGATAAGGCCGTCGGCTGGCGCGCGCGTTGCGGTAGGAGTTCATAAATTATTCGGGCCGCGGGGGCAGCGGGGAGAAGGGGGGATGGGGGGGAGGGCGGAGGAGAGGACCGAAATAGCGGTGCGAATGCTAAGGTTAGTAAGGATTATTCACGGCACCCCCAAAGCCGTATTATTTAGCATCGGTACCTACTCTCGCACACTCCCCGGCTCGCTCTCGCACAATTGTCGCGTTCTTCTCCATTACCTCACCCACGGAGCCTCTTTCCTCATTCGTTTCCCAACGCTTCACATCCTTCACGCGTCCACGAGAAGCTCTACACGCGCCTTACTTCGGATTCGCGTCCTTCGTCACTTCGTCCTTCCTTTTCATTTCGAAGCAAAGTGGCTTTTTTGTTGCATAAAGATGTGGAAAAATTAATGAAATTTCTTACAGAAGAATTCAAGGCTGTTTCGCGTTCGTACTTCTTCCGGCTGATTCTACATTGTCAGGTTAGAAGTAACGAATAAGACAATTATTTCAAGAACAATGGAATTCCGTCTGCGTGCGACGTAATTTGCGACTGCAATTGAGCGCGAATATCCATACAATGCTCGATACGCTCCGCATGTGCGAGCGGCTGGCGTTCGCATCGCGATCTCTTAAAACCGGATCCAAATCGAGCAGGCGAGCGCGAACAAGTTCGAATGAACAATCGCCAGTACAGTGGCACTGTTCGCACTCGCTGAAGCAAGTTGTTCATTTGTGTTTGTTCGCGCTCGCTTGCCTGGCCTGGACCAGATTTAATGTCAAAAGAGCGACGATGATTAACGATTGAAATTAATGGAAAAAGGCTCGGTTTATGCAAAAATAGAATCAATTGAATGCGCGCAATAAAGGGGAAATGGAGAGACGAGTAGGGATAATCGCGAGCGTATCGCGAGGTCTCGCGCGTTTTGGTCGGGAGAAGATAGAGTTGAGAAACTTTCCAAGAGCAATTAACCCTCATTCGGATAGGGTCCTAAGTCCGCCGAACATCGCAAGGAAAATTTCAACTCAACTCACTTTCAGAAATAAATTCCCAGACTTTGGGAAGAGAAAAAGATCGACCGGAAAGGTGAAGCGATATCGAAAACGTCGGTCTGAAAAGAGGAGAACACGTCGCGCGACGAAGAAACCGTATCTACGAGAAAAATCCGATTTGCAGAAAGCTGCGAAACTCGCGGGGCGTACGTCGCGTCGGCTGTGTACCGCGATGGTTACCGTAATCGAGGATCGATGAGCTTGCGAGAGCCGCGATACGCTGCAGTTCGTCACGTCCCTGTTATTACGTAAGCCTCATCTTCTTTTTCTCTCCCTCTCTGTCGAGAAGATCGTATCGCGCGTTGTAATAATGACGTACTTGTGGTGCTCGTCCCGAGGTGTCGGAGCGAAGCCGGCAACAACAATGACGGCGGAGTCGTGGCTTTTTACGGAACGACGCTCACGCCCGACGAGATATTAGCCACTGATACCGACGTATCGCCGGAAGCGGTGAAGCTTGAAATAATTAAATCATGTTCTTACGCGCCAGCGGCGGGCGCGAAGCCAATCAACTTGCGTTTTAAGCCGGTTCTCGGCGGGACGCGACAAAAGAAGGAGAAGTTGCAGTCTCGCGTATATCTCGCGAAACGATTCTTGTTCGATAATTTACGGCGACAGTGCAATGTCGACCCACCATTAATTCGCAAACTGCTCTTTAGATAATTCCGTAGATGTGGTTTAAAAAATCGGACGATAGAGCTACGTAAAGTAAACTAGTCACATTCTTCACCGGAAATAAATATTGGTTTGGACTAGATAAGAGAGACTGCGCGACGGAAATCGCACATTAAGTGTCCACGTCGAATGGCGCCGTGTAACGCTTATATACGTTAATAAATGTGTAAACCGAAGCACTGATGTGCGCAGATAACGGTAGAATATTCAGCGATAATATTTCACGAGTGGTCGCGCAGACTATGTACACGAGTGCGTCTGTAATTATTCGTCGCGCTATCGTTATTTAACTAGATGTATCACCAGCCGTAAAGCGATCGCGGTCATAACTCACTCGACATTTTACGCATGCGTGACAAATGGATTTTTTTTCTATAGTATCCCCGATATTTCGGATAATCGCGCGCCCGCCGATATGATTCTGGCTTTACCGCCGGGGCGGATTAATGACGCGCGACTCGGAAGCGCGTTTCGCCAAACGACCGTTCGACGCGTCAGTTTTAACGGGCGCGCTACCGGTTGTAATGCACGGCGCGGAATCGATAATCGAGTAAAATTTAATTTTAAAACAAACCGCGCCTATATACGGAAGGGCTGAATTCGGAATCGCCGATGTGCATTAACTAGCCGCTAGTTATCTCGAAAATGACTACCTTGCCGCTTCGCGTATATCGGTTATCGGAATGAGCCACGAAGGCGTTGCCGGCGTATATATATTGCATGGCGTTAATTATGCAAATGAATTGGCTTGATGGCCGAGTCGGATTAACATTACCGTCAAACCGATGCGTCGCGAATTAAGGAGGCGAGAGCAACGTTGCCTCCCCGCCAACTGGTTCCGGGTTTACCTTTTTAAAAAATTATTGCATACTCGTATCGCGAGTAAAGCTGGAATGTAATTAACACCGAATGGCATTAAACCGTCACGGAAATTTGCTACCCAAATTTCATGTTGTACTCGTATTTATGTATACGGCGAAACTTTTACGAAAATAAAGCTGTCCCCTTTATTCCTCAGTCGTAAAAAAGATTGCACGACGTGTTTCTCGTGCCATACTTTCGGCTACGAAAGCGTCCCAGCTGCTACATGTTAATGTCGCTTAATGACTTACAAATAAATTGCCAGCGATGTGTCGTGACTCATCCATAACGGACGCGGCACTGCGCCGCGCCGCGAGAGTCCTTGAGAAAAGTGTTAACACCTGCGAGAAGTGCTATACGTGCCGATGCACGTAGAGCTTGACGATCGTTTATCGTCTAGGAATCGCTTACTTGGTCTTTAAAGAACGTTTCACCGACGATGAGTCAGTAAGAGCCCGATCTCCGTCGCGAGATTGCATTTTCTACTGCGATCGCATAAAGATAATCGAGCGTAGGAAAGAAGAGAAACTCCACCATCATTTCATGTTAACGTATTAATCATCGTAAGCTGAATATGCGTTCGCTTATTAACATTGAGAAGCAGTATTTCTTTATGTAACGACGTCTTCCCGTATTCCCGAGACGTCAAGCCCGTAGCCGCAAAATGGTAGATAATGCAGGCGGTTGAATTGAGTGGCTAACAACGCTGAGTAATTCTTTCGTCGCGGAACGTTTAAGGCTTGTAATTCATATTCGGAGCCGTGGTAAGAAAAGGAATACGTACACAGAGCTCCGTCGAAAGGTCCGTCCGATACCGTCAATGCGCCGCGTTTAAAGCCGCACGCGACGAATTAAATGCGAAATAAAAAAAAATCACGACCGACAATACGAGAATACAAATCTGTCTTATTCTCGCGAGAACAAAGAGACACTCACCTTCTTCGTCGTGTAGAGTTTCCAGCCTTGGAGCAGCATGTACATCTTCTTCCAGCCGTTCGAACTCGCATTTCGCATCCACACCATGCTGAATACGTGCGGGCAATCACTGTCCTCCCGTAACAGGTAATTCTGCAACACGAGCGTGAGCAACGTACACTTGCCGGACTCGGGCCAGCGCCGTTTTCGCATTCGCGACGATTTTGCATTTTGGCAGGGAAATCACACACGTGTACTCACCCTTAGCGCGCTCTCGGCCTCGGTGAATGTGCCCCTCTCCTCCCCGTTAGGAAACGCGATCATGTCCGCGGGAAAAAATTGCTGCAAAAAAATCGGGGAGACGTCTCTACATACTATCATTTATACATTTCAAAATCGGACATCGAGAAAACCGGATTTGTTGGATCGTGTATAAAAAAAAATTGACGAGGGTGACTCGGAGAGAAGAGTGATGCGGAGACGACGGATCTAAAATATTTCTCGGACCGAGAAAATACATAAATATCTCTCTCGCTTCGCAAGTACCTTGAAAGAAGTGGCTCTATAGACACACGCATTACTTAAGAATCTTTTTAAAGATTTCAATAGATGGGACAAACACTCATACATTCACACACTCACACGCAAAGAGGATATCTCTCTCTATCTCTCTCTCCCTTAGTTAGAAAAGGAAAAAGTCTCGAGATTTCCCCGAAGAGTGTCGATTACGACGTCCAATTTCCCAAGTTTCTACGCTCGTTAGCCTTTAATTGGCCAATCATCTGCGAGACTACAAGATTTATGAACCCGTAGCTGATTGAATTTCAAAACTGCTAATTGATATCCGTTCGAATGTATTAATTAATAAGTCTAACTATCTCTGAAGTCTGGCTGATGAATCGGCATCCCTTTACGTATCACAAAATTAACATTCTCCAACAAGATTCAATAAAATGATAGCTGGAATATCTCATTCAAGTATTATGTCGGCATTTATATTCCCCACACAATCTCGGATGCATTAAGTTTAAAATGGAGCTGCGTGTGCTCAATCCTGTAAAATCCCAGGACACGAATGTTCCAATCAATACTACCGAATCCTTGAGTCCCCATCGCCGCTCCCGATATTGGAAAAGCGTCTCTCGTGCCATCTCTGAACAATCTCTCTAAATCTTCCGTAGAACCGACATGATTCGCCGGTAAGCGAGAGATCTGCTGGCGGAAATTTCGCAAAATATTCTTATACCGACAGTGTGCACGTAAATACCGACGAAGTATTAAAAAATGTCGATCGGGATGCTAGTGAACCTAACGATAACGAAAGATATTACCGACTCTAATATTACCGACATTTCAGATCTACAAAATAAATTGCAGTTTCACAAAAATATTATGTACTGTCGATATGAACATACATTACATATTTGCGAAGTTAAATAATTAAAAAATGTGAAATATTAAAATTGCAAATACACATATTTTATATCAAATGGTCAAAAGTTGGTCGGTAATACCGAGATTGGGAAAATGTAGCTAGAGTCGGCAGTCTCGAAATCATCGTTATTCAAATATGCAGCTGCATTGCAACTGCAGGTTGGATGGTAAATTCAGTCGGTAAGTTAACGCGTTTAATTTGAACAAAATTTACCATTCGATGTGGTAAAAGATATAAACAAAAAACGCAAGAACTTCATTATTTTCTGAAGATTTTGACGAATGCTCTTCAGGACTGGATTATCAAAGAAGTAACTTTTTTCAACAAGAGATAACAGAATTCTCTAAAGATAATAGAATTTTTTTTACTTACCGCAGGCTTGATGAACACTTCGTATTTCAGGAAGTCCTGACTGAAATAGAACCTCCTCTCGTATCGGGAAGCAAACAATTCCAATTCCCTGTGAACAGCAAGAATATCTTCGTGGTCTTCTAATGTGCGTTCTGCAACAAAAAAATTCATTCCGTTTGCGACAAATATATTGCTATGTTGCTAATATTAACACAGTAATATATTCAGCCAAAATATATCAGAGTATTCCCAAATCGATGTCTGTTTTAAGGAAATACGGAAAATAATATTTTTCATATCTCTTACGTCATAACAAACGTCATAATAAACAGCTTAATCTTTCATAATGTTACTGATCTTAAAATACCCAGTCTTTTTTATAGCAAAAATTAGCTAAAAATTTATTTTTATAAGTTCTAATAAAGCGAGTTTTATAGCTACAGTTAATGCAGATCGTCCCGTCACGCGATCAATTCGTAAAATGATTCCATGGAAAGCACATTAGACTAGAATAGCTTGACATTTCGCCCGGATCTCTAAACAAACATTCCGTACGGAGACACAGCCGCGAGTCGCGTCTCTGACCTGCACCAAGCTCCTGGAGGTTTCGCCCGCTATTGATTCTCGGCTGCATTATAGAGCTCTGTGCCGTCTTTACGGCCTCTCCAACCCCCTTTCCTCCCTTCACCCTTTTCCCCTCACCATGCACACATTATTTCCGATCTCGTTCCGAGTCAATGCCGTAGGAGAAAATTTAGACGACTGAAGTTTTCCCGTTGCATTAGGAGGGAAGCTCGTTACGTCACTTCGCTCCTCTTCCGACCTCGAACTTTTTAACGAATTATCCGCTTTTTTACATGCGCGCCGATATTTTTATAAATAAATTATTTGCCACCGCGAGTTCCCAAATAGTTCTTGAGCGCGCATCGCGCGGCAATAATCGCAAAATACTTCGAAAATATCCGCCGGTTCTCCGCATTTCCCTATTCAAACATATTTGTCCCCATTCAACGTTATCGTTAAATCCGATAACAATTCGGATATCGAATTAAACGTTTAATTCTGTAAATTCCATCCATTATGTTTGGGTATACGTTCATTACATCTGTGTATCTTCGAATTGTACGCGCGTGCATTCCAATAATATAAATATAAAATTATACACATACACACTCACATATAGATTATCGAGCGTACGGAATATTCATATTTCTCCCAAAAAGGTTACTGAAAAATTAACGATTTCGCGAATATAATATCCTAGCGAGTAATCACGTACAATCGCCGACTTTGAAAGTATAGTCGATGACACATCGCAATTCGCACGTGAACGTAATGCATAAGACATGCTTATCGATTGATTGTTGAACTGCATTCCCGAGAGAGAATACATAAATTCACTTGAAATAATCACGATGGAAATATATCACGCAGTTGCGAGATGATTTATAATAGTACATACCGATTCCCAGTTTCGGCCACGTCTCGATTATCGACCAGGCTGAGCCGATTGTGTTCCTCTTGACTTTAAGCAACTCGCACAGGTCGATCGTTCGCAGATTCTTCTCCACGACCACAGTCGTAAAAGAGTGATCGTTGTTGTAAAACCGCAATTCTTCCTAATTAAATAAACATTAGATAGGTATTAAATACACAATAAAATGAATTGAATTGGATACAGTACAATTAAATTAATTAATCGAATTAAATTAATTCGCGCTCTTCTCTTTTATAATCCCTCCCTTAATTTATTTATCTCTATTGCATCGTAAATAAATTATGAATATTTTGTCTCACAGGATTCACATTTTATATGTTTTGTAATCAAATAAATTTACATAAATTAATAAATCAATGATAATGAACTTTTATTTCATAAAGAGGGTGTACATGAGAAAAAAATTGTATTAAATATTTTAATTATTTCGTCATATTTGAAACCTGTTATTTAATTTTATTTTTCATTATAATATGTAGATTCCAGTCATACAAATTGAACACAATATAAAAATTCACTGTTCTATATTCATCTTTCCGATTTTTCCGAATATACGTGTAATTGAATAATCGTGAGAGAGCGATTCTCAAGCGTAAGATAATACGTACTGGTCTTTCGCTGTCGAGCAAATCCTGATCACTTCTTCGACTCCTTCGCGTCGTGCTGTTGAGTTCGAAGATCGTGAGATCGGAACCAAGCCGCTCGTAGCTCGCAACTCGATTACTCGGCAGCGTCGAGCTGCCGTCGATGCAGGAGCACATCTTCGGGAACCAATCTGCAAGGGCCCAAAGAAGATGCTAGAGAGAGATTGGTACGGCGCGTCGCGGCCGACAAATAGAGGGGAAAAGGGCTACACGACTTAAAAAAATCGCAAAGAATGTCAGTCCCTTAAAAAAAAAAACGCCAAATCTACTATATAAATATATTGCAAAGAGGCGCAAAGAGCGAGCCCGCTGTACTAGAAATCTATTTTACAACTTGGGCTTCACAGGATCTACATGGTCGGGATGGAGCCACTATACATTATCGATGAGTGAACGTGGCCCCCTCTCGTCTCAAGAGACACAAAGGAAAAAAAAAAGTAGTGTTCAAACATTAAGGACAAAATGTGACGTCGTGCTGTGAAATCGCAGCGATTCTCGGGCGAACTTTCCCGTTTCGAATAGCGAGTATAACTGTATACTGTCGGAATATCGAGGCGTAGGGACAAAGGTAGTTGAGTAACTACGTGTGTGTACGTGTGTGTGCTGCGACATTGAAGACGCGTCGTGCGTAGTGCCGTGAGTCGCGTTTTATACGTGAGCCGTTACAAACGCGGATATTTACATCTCGCGGAGGTCGCGCGCAATTTTGCCGGCGCTCCTCGTCGCACTGCCTTCTCTTTTTTCTTTGGTGTGATGATATATCGAATACGACGTAGAGTCGTAGTTGAGTCGTTTCAGAGAGCGCTTAACGAGGAGAAGCCAGCAAAAATATATATAGCTAATCTGAGGAATCGCCGTACGCAATCAGTCAGACCAGAGATCAGAGGTGTCTTTGTGCACCAGGCCAAATGCGGGTCAAATTTCTATAATATAAACCGTTGGACAGCCGAGTATTTCCAAGCAGAAGACCGATATTGTAATGAATCTCGATCCTATTCCTGATTCACTCTGACTATTCGTAATCCATATTATTCTAGGATCTTGCATAAATCAATTTACGTTATGAAAGATTAAGAAAACAGATTCCATATGGATCATTATCATTAACTCATCTACTATCTTCTATTAAAATTTCGCACGTTTGTGTTGTTTATTTGTAGATAAATGTTAATCAATAGAAAATTTTGATAAATAAAAATAAGTAAAATAATAAATAAACAATAATTGATAAATAAAATACAAATTATTATCAAATATTATTTCAATAAAAATATTTTATCAAAATAATATTTTAAACAGAATCTATTAATTTTGAAAAATAATTTTATTATTAGTTCTAACAAAAAGTTGAAAATTACAAGTGAAAAGTGATATACGACGATCACAGATAAAAATACAAAATTAATATTGTATATTAAATGTGCGAGTAAAAAATGAATTATTTGGCTTAGACGTCAGATATCGTAATTGTTTACATTTTCTGAAAAACTTTTTGCAAGAAATTAATTTATAATATTATATAGAAACATAGAACTTCTTAATTTCACAAGCATACACAAGTGCAGAAAGTGTTACAAAAATTACAAATTTCATTTCAATGATTTTAAATGATTAATAACTTGAAATTATAAAGATAAATTTAAAGATCCTCGATTAACATCTTTTCTCAAAATCTTTCTTTATAATATGGAATCTCTACTTTGTAAATTTATTTTTGCCCTTTCCAATCGTTCGTTCAATGCGCGTTTGCAATCGAAGAATTCTCCGGCTAGCTCGAATGCGCAAAAGTCGTTGTCGCCGTGCCACAAAGATACCTTGAAAAGATGAAAAGCGCCTTAATAATCGTTCGTCTGTCCTGTATCCGGATTGCGTCGTGACAACGTAACAGCAACGAGAATCCACGTGCACATATGTACATATGCGCCAGCGGCGTCGATACTACTCATGTCCGTCGAATTCGCTCGCCGTGAATTAGCGATTATTTCCACGAACGATCAATAACAGAAGCGACAAGGAGGAAAAAGTAATAGCAAATGTAAACTAATCGATATCAAGCAAAATCTTGTACGAATACAGCTCGAAAATTTCTCGCTATTTTATCTGACTAATAAAATCTTTTCCTTTCTCGTTTTCATAAATCAAAATCTCAACTATAATCGCTATATTTTAAGAAAGAACAAATTATATGTAAACTATAAGAAAGTTAATATCAAGAAAGAGTATATGGATGTTTAAAATAAAGTTTTAAATGGAAATAATTTTATCGTCAAATTTTTAATACAAAGCAAGAAATTTATCGGGCACCGTTTTGCATGGATACCCGTATGGCGAGAACAACTGCAATTGCAAGTTACGAATTTCGCTAAGACTGTTCAAAATCCCGATAACGTTTCACCGTATTATCGCGAGATGATAAGAAATGTAAAAGGCCTTGCAAACTATTGCAAGATTCCTAAATTATCGCTGATAACACTCGTGGAAAATCGCTAACGCATTCACTTGTATTGCAGCTGCGTGTGCTTTCCCATTTTCAAGAACTCTGACTTTTGTCGAATCAACGTTTTTGCGTTTCAAGTAAATAAATAAATAAATAAATAAAATGAAATCAAACCTTTTGCAAAATAAACGTTTAATATCATTATTTAACCAACTAATTCCTATTAATATTGTGACCTTTACATCTATAATTTTTCAGATAGACAAATTTATCTGTTAAAGAAATCAAGAAACTTTTCTATTTATAATATTGCTATATTTATGTGAAATCATAATTTTATAAATATTTATTTTCGAAACCATATTTGGAGCTAATAATCAAATTGCGATTTCAATGTGCAACTTAATAAAAATTAACAAATAAGTTAAAAAAACAGTTTTATGTACGTTTCTGAATTTTGTGAAACGCGCAATCGCGGAAGGAATCCCTGTCGTGGACTACGAGAACGAAGCCGAGAGTAAGCCTAATCAGTGGAACGATAACACCGAGTGCGAGGGCATGCTCTCGAATTAGCGGGCCACGTTGACCGTTTATTGCGGCAATTAATTAACCCGCAATCGCTCGGTATGCGGTACGTAAATGCGCAAAGCGCATAATGTCGAGCGTCGCCATTGCAGCTGACTTCGTGCGACATTACCGGATAACATGAATGAATCTGTTAATATCCTAATAATAAATTTTTATTAAACTAAAACAGATTATTAATAAAAGACTTCTTCTTCTTTTTTATTTGTTGTACTCTTTAATCTATTTTAGTTCTTGATAATAAATTTATGTACTCATTTCTTGTTTTTCGAGCAACGTATCTACTAAAACTAAATGATAGAAAATTACCATACTAAAATGAGGATATCTTAAGATATCTCTATAAGAAAAAAAATATTCTTTTCCTAATTTCGAAATTCACGTTTAAAAATAACTATAAAGTTAAAACAAATTTTTAAGAATATTTATATTATATACATTATATTTCTAGCTTTATCTCAAATAAAATAAAGAATTTGAATATCTGAAATGGATAAACTTCCTGAAAGAGAGTTCAAATAATTATCTAACACTCGAGAATCGATAAAACAAAAAAATATAAAAATTCCGGCGATTTTTCGATCGTCAGTTGAAAGTATTTTAAAATTTCGCGAATAAAAATTTTTATCGCGGTAAAATCTGACATTTTCTCAAAAGTTTCAAAAGTTACATCAAAAATTGAATTCACATTGATTTTAATTAAAATAGGAAAGTTATGACCAATTTTATAACAGAAATGTAAAATAGTTATCCCACATTCTTGCATGCCTGTTGTTGACGTTTAATTTACTTCTTATGAGACTTTTATTAAAACTCTTTAGGAAAAAACCAGAACTGCCATCAATTATATCGCAATTCTAAAAATCTATCGAGAAAACATATCTATGTAATTTTTGTATTATATAATGATGCACACAGTTCGCGAGTTTCACAATCGCGACCACAACCTTGGCCTACTTACGTCTCTACCTACTGACATACTATATTATCCCATTCCACCATTATTTTGTTCCTTGTAACAATCTGCCGATTGTCGCATATCCGCAAGCTCGGTTTTTTATATCTGATTTCGAGAAACGGATATAAAATCCAGAAAACATTATTGTATATTCGCATGATGTATTCACATGTTGTACATCTTACAGTAATTTTTTTATTAACATTAGCATGATATATCTTGATAATTAAAACGTTACTTATAAACACTTAAAAGAATTAAATTAATGTAATATGTACAATACAATTATAATTTGATAAAATCCAATTTCATTAAATAACAATAATTTAGTCAAACTATCTTAGTTGCTCCAATTATATCACGTAAATTTAATAAAATTTCTCGATGTTTTGGATTGTTTTAAATTTAGATTTACATTGAATAGCTATATATTCGACGAGTATTCAAATATACTCGAGCAGTAAGCAATTTTTATTACATTCCTCAAATCTTATCAAAGTGAAAACAATTTCGTAGTTGAAAGTTATTTGTATGAACGTAAGTAACAAGAATAATTTTCTTCGAGTCTCTCTAGATTGTCATATTTTCAAATATTCGTGCAAGACAACGGGGATTCCTAATCACCACGGCTGTTATCAGACGCGACGATAACACATTATCTCGTGGACATCGCAAAGACGCCTCAGATACTTTCAGCATCCAACCCGTTAACGTGTTTCTCCCAGCCACGTTCGTATCGTGGTATGCGGACATCTACCTGTCACAATGACGAAACCGGGTCGTTCCATAAGCACAGGCCGGAACGTGCGCAGTCGCGAGAAAAATAATCGGCAATAATAGAGAGAAACTTGTCTCTCGTGCCTACCTCACTCATTTATCGCCCATCACGAGATGTTGTCTAGCTGAAAGAGTCTCTAACACTCGTAGGAAGAACCGATAGATAAGCCGTGTGTTGAAAAGACGGACTTAGCTGTTGATCGTGACATCGTGACCGCGATAAACGGGAATGTAAACGGGAATCTTATTTTTATAGAGGAATTCTTAAAAGTGTGTAAGAAGACAATATGACGTATTATCATAGAGGAATACGAAACGTCAACAAACTGCACACACAAGAAACGATGATTACCGTACACCTGTTGTGTACATAT